CCGATAGACCGAGGTTACCTCGAAACTGATATTTTTTTTTTAAGTAAAAAGATTTATAAACTCATTTAAAATGTAAAATTGAAGATTTAAAATAAATATCTGAGAATTTTTTCGGTGATATTTTATTGTTTTAACCATAAACTGAATGGATTTATTGTCAGATTTTGATGAAGAAAGCAGCTGATACTAAGAAGAAAATAACTTTTTTTTTTAATCCAAAAATGATGTAACTTATTCTTTATTAATTCAAAAAAATAATGAAAAAATAAACTCTTATTATTATTAAATCAATCATATTCAGTTTTCTTAAAAGAAAAATAAAGTATTTCACTATAAAATATTAACTCTTCTCAACTTATCATTTTATACTCACCGTCTCTACGTCATTTCGTGTTAGGAAAAATCAAGAATTAATGAATCTATTTTATGTAATATATTTATTTTTATTATTATTATTTAAATATATGTACAGGAGACACGTTTTTGTATGTTCTAAATATAAATCCCGGATCGTTTATTAAGAGAAATGACGAAAATAGTTATTTAATAATTAAATAAATTTACAATTTTCGCAGTTTGTTTTCCTTAACTTTAATAGATTTTATCGACTACCAGTTAATTTTATGCATTAATTTATCCGTAGAGATGATTTAGTTGCTTAATGAGAACAAAATGTAAATTCTGACATCCAATTTTTTTTATAAGAAAATAAACTCATTAAGACAAATATCATCCTTTAATTTTTACTGTTTCATATTAATATGGAAAGGATATTAAATAATGAGAATCAATCATAATTATTCTTTACTCGTAAATAACCTTTTTAAATATTCATTTTAGTTGCTATTTTTTTCCCCCTCTCTTTCCATCGAATTAAGCATAGAAAACAGTTACGAAAATTCTAGTTTTATACTTCAATAACATGAAACAAAGTCGATTTTCTATTTCCCCCTTTAAAAATGTTTATATTTTGATAAAAGAAAAGATAAAATATATTTTTATATTAATCAAATATTTTTATAAGATTTTCTAGAATAAATTTTGCATTTTCAGTTGGGCAGAGGATTTAATGGTTCGATTATTTCTCGAGAGAGAAAGGCCCCACAATACTGGGTCCCTTTTAAAGAAAAGCAGAAACTTTTTTCTTGGAATTTTTAAGAGTGAAGTTTTATATTTCGATAATTTAAAAATGTTTAAGTAAAGCTTGTTTATTTCTAATTTTATTTTTTATTTTATGTTGAGAAGCGAGCTGATCTTAGTGAAATAATCGAGAATTATCTTTTAAAAATAATCAAATATGGCTCCAGCTTAGCTACTTTTTCCTACAAAAAAAAAAAAATCACAGTACTAGGCACAAATACCTGAAATCCGCCAATGATTCCACTTTAATTTATTGATTTCTGAAAAAAGGAACCTACTACTAGGCATTAAGACGGCCCCAAAGCCTTAAATACGTAACGATTCAACTTACATTTGCTGATACCTGACAAAAGTGGTCCACTATTACGCATTAAAAAAGCCCAAAGCGCAAAATCCGCTAACGATTCCACTTCCATTTTCTGATTTCTAAGTTATTATTTAGTATTTTGTCGAAAGTATAATAAAAATTTAATCGAGTATATATAATAATATAATTTATTAAATATTATACTTAAAAATTTAATGAAGTTTCAATTAGTTTAATTACCAAATATATCATCCACTCTCCGCTTTTACATACAATAAATACACACAGGCAGACAGACACAAAACCGACAAATATTAACTCGAAAGCCACGAAAATGGAATATTTTTGCCCAGAAAACATTAAAAATATTTAATAGTGAATCCAGCAAATGTATATTTTTGTTATTTCCCAAGAGGATTAATTAGGTCTATGGTATTCGTGTTGATGCTCGTAACGTATCGAGATGATGTGAAATTGCACTTTGTTATCACGATTTAATAAATATATTTCATTGCAAACAGGAATGAAATTGCACTATCGAGAAGATAATTTTATATATTTATACGGATATTTATGCATTTTAATTAATTTTCGGAAATTTATTGTAGATTAATGATTTAAATTTAGAAACTCAGCTTCACTTAATAAGCTTAGAAGACATAGAAATTCCTATTAGAGTAAGTCTAAGAGCAGGCGTATACAATTTCTCTGAATGAACTTTTCTAAATCCATTTTCAGAAGAATGCAGTTAAGGAAAAGGTACTAAAATTATCTCTAAAGCAGTATATTTTTTTTATGATTTTCTTTATGGTAATTGCTTTTTATCAAGCCAAAGTTGTTACTTAAAACTACAATTTTATTATTTTTAAACTCTTAATAAACATTTTTAATATATTCTTATCGTGTTTTAAGTTAATTATTTTGCATTCTTCGAAAATCTAACATTATTTTTTTACTAAAGGGTGAAGTTATAACTTAAAAATTTCATCATTGTATAACCTTGTTTGATATAGTTTAGTGTCTCGTGTAATTACGCGCTTTACATATAATATTTTTTTTTTTATATTTATTACCAGGAAAATTGTTTCTTTGATGTTTTTAAGAAGAATTCGATAGAAAGGAAAGAGTTATTGCTGTATAAACGTTTATGTTTTAAAGCCAAACTTACCCGACTCAATTGATGAACAACTGTTTGTCTTTCAGTTTCTAGTTCACGACTCAATCTTTCAAATTGCGCCGCCTGAAAGAAGAAAAAACAATGACATAAAAAATTTAAAAAATAGAAAAATGATAAACAATTTTCATAGAAATGGAATCAATTCTCAACCTAAAATCATTTTTTTTAACTTTAAAAAAGGCATTTTATGAGACTCTTAAATATAAAAATATCCACCACCCCCTTTTTGTTTGGAATATTGTATCTATTTTAAATAATATTTTTGAATAAAATGGAAATAGAGAAATGGAAATTTGGTATTATTTACGATCGTTTCGCAATTGTATATAAAAAAAAATGTTCCCATTTTTTCTTTTACCATTCCAAAAACAATACGTGTAATGATACTGTCAAAGAGAACACGAAACGGGTGGGACCTATTCACAACAGTTATATAAGAGTAATTCTTCACGAAAAACTATTCTGGTCCATGAACCGAGCAGGAGAATTATAAAATTTTTCTTATATCTCTTCTATCTGATCACTTATCTATGTATAAACCTTATAAATTCCGATAGACCGAGCACCCTTGTATGTATATATGTATATATACACTCACACACACACACAAAAAGTCGATTTTATAAGTAAACAGACAAAGATAAATAATAAAATACATCAAAATCGTTTATATAATATAATATATTATATATATATCGTACATCATCACAGATCATTATATTAGCGACAGAATAATCACAGTTATTTTACTGCTTCTCTACAGCACTTCAGTTGGACTTCCCCTAACAATATGTCTTTCCTTCATAACGTGTCAATTGTGCAGTCAAGTAGAAAATCGAGTGTATGTAACGAGAATCATACATGTTATATCCTTAACAAAATGTATTATTGCAACGCAGATCCATTATTTCCAGACGTAGCATACCATTTTTATAGATGATTAATCATAATTAATCGATAGAAATGACATTTCTTGTTAAATTTCACGCGTGGAACTTCAATGTAAATTTATTTCCGGTTGTAAAGAATTCTTATAAATATTACGAGAAAATAATAATGCAAACCGAACGTATTATTGTCTTCCTGATGCTGTTATAATTCGGGTGCAGAAATATATGATTTTAATATGTAATTCCTTGCCTAAACCTTGTGAAGGATGATGATGAATTGTTTAGGAGTTGCGTATAAATTACTTGAAAAGAAATAATTTAAATTGTTTTATATGTAATAAAATATAATATATAATATAGACATTATGAATAAAGCCATATAAATATTAGAAATATTNTATTTTATCCTATATTTTATCTTAATTTCTAAATTAGAATGCCAAACAATTCATAAATTAAACAAAGATATCAAAAATAATATAAGTTTAGAGCTTAAATTATATATCAAGTAACTAAATAGAGTTTATTTCATGATCAAGTGAACAGATATAGCCTATCTATCCATTAACAATATGTTTTAGAGAATTTCTATAGCCTAATTTTAACCAATGCAGCATGTGATTATTATATTAAACAGGATGAATTCAATTTATGTAGCGATAACTATGTTTGGTAATAATATAATACTATGAATAGGACTATATAATTTTATTTTATTCGCTTGTCAAGTAATCTGATTGTATTGACACTGAAATGCTGCACTTCCTGAAGGCGGATGTAAAGTTGAAGGAAGAATAGAGGATAAGCACGAATGATGCTGTCGTAGCATGACTTGCTAGAAGAAAAAAAAAGAAGTTTTCTGCGTTATTAAGATTGCAGAGGAAAAAAGTACATATACATATTTAACTACATAAAATGCAGCTAAATGAGAAAAATATTTTAAATATTCAAATATGAAAGGATTTTCGGATAATAATGGATGAGTGAATGCTTAGGAATGTGCAGAGGATCGATAAGTTTTGTGAAATTTGTAAACATGCATATACAAGTTCTCATTAACTAAATTGATCTCACTAAATTGTTTTAATGCTCGAAAGCGTTTCTGCATTAACTTCTCCTGTCTGTGTGTAATATTTAAAGTGTATTCGATTGATTCCAGCATTGATCAAATTCCATATTTGTTGAAATAATCAGATATATATAATAAAGTTAAGCACGCATCTTGACTACTGTTTACATTATTAAATGATTATTTATCAGATAATTAACTGAAAATTTTCTAAAATATATTAAAAATTTCTGAATTCCGTTATTAAATAAACGCTCTCCCTCTCTCTTCTCTATCATTTTTTCTTGGTTGCACGAAATTTCACTTTTGATAGGTTATTAAATTTTAAACTTGGATTATCTTAGGGACCTTCCATACGAATTAATGTTAAACATAAAGTGTTCTGTTAATGGAATTTCGATAAATTTTTCCATAACTAACGATTTACCGTAATGAAAAACGAAAAGAAAATTATCTAAATCCGAACTAAAAACGTTCAGAAGCATTTGGCGAGGTGTTTTTAATCCATAAAAACGATTTTACTTTGATTCGACTAAGTATTCCAAAATGACTGGCAAAAAAAATTATGTTTCCAACATGAATATTTAAGATATAAAAGTGGAAGAAGAAGAAGAAAAAAAAACTGCGCACCTACCTAATAACAAGCCAGCGTAATTCTTAAAATTAACAGAAGTCGAACCACATAAAAGTAGTTTATCGATCGTAGCTCTAATGTAGTAGCAGGTGATGCTCCGTGTTTATCTTCCAACCTGTGATTAGAGTATGCGGGCGAACGTCCTTTATGCCAGAACGTCTTCTACCCCCTGCGTGACAAAACTGCGATGATAGACTGCAACTGAATAAAAATTTATGTCTATGCTCCACGAGCTTTTACGATCAAATTTTCGAAAGGATGAACGCTTGGCGATTTCCAAATAGTGCGAGCGTGAGTCTGTCTGTTGGGATTAAACGTCGATTCAATAGTAATAATAACAATAAAAAAAAAAGCCAATTAGTTCGATACCCCTGTTGAAATCGTAAAATATAACGGCTATGATTCAATGTGTAATTGGCTGCATCTGTGAATTTTAAAAGGTGTTAAGAAGGAAAGATAAATTTAGAGAGAATGCTCTCTCTTGTCCTGTAGAAAATTGTATCAGAGTGACTTTCGATTGTTAAATATCTCGAAACGTCCAACTAGCTTTCGAAAACTGTTCCCATAGGAGACATTATTCCTTTGATCTTATCAGCTTGCAACGAAGCTGACTTTCAAATATTCCTCTAACACAAAGGTGTGTTAGATAAATTAAAATCTTTATTCTTCTTATTTCTTTATGTTTAATCAGAAATTTCCAAATGGTTAAACGAAAAACATTCGAAATTTACACATTAAACGCTTCGGTATCCGAGTTATGGAAAATGTTCAAAATATGCAAATTAAAACCACTTGTATATTAATAAACTTGTAATAAACGATTAAATATATTATATTTAAACTGTAATTAATTGCGCTTTAATAATAATAGTATTAATAATATAAACTTTGGCTTATATAAGAATTTAGAGATGTTATCAAAAATTATTTATGACTGAAAGAACATTTTTAAACTTCATTATTTCACAAAAATCCAACTTCAAAAACGTTTTAAAGCTATGGAAAATGGTGAAAATATGCTAATTAAATCACTTACAACTAAACTTGTAACAAATGATTAAATATACTTCATTAAATCTACAGTTAATTACGTTTTAATGGCAATAGCAGAAATTTTAAGAATTTCGAATGCAAAAATATTAAAAATAATTTTTGCGTAAACAAAATTTAATATTTTTTTTTTGACCTAGTAAAATTTTATAATATAGAAATTACTAAAATTAAATCATACGTATCTATAAAGAAATGATTAAATTATATTTTAGTGAAATATTTTAATATAATAAAAATAAATGTGACTTTTATATAAAACTTAAAATAGGTGAAAAATATTGTCGAAAAATAATTTATGGCCTAAGAACATTTTTAGAGTAGAGTATTTCTCAGAAAGTATCAGAAAAGTTTTGCAAGTAAAGCAACTTAGTCATAGGAAAGGTTTGGTCGTAAAAGTTTATTCCACGAACTTCTTAATAAAAACGAAAACCTGGGAGATTTGTCATTCAATTTACCTTGGGGTTTTTCTTTAAAGATTCCGATATAATTCGCTCCATTGCCCCTACCATATTGACTTGTCGACCAATCTTGCTGGTCCCAGAAGTAGACATGGCGTGCTTCTTCATTGATCGCGTGTTCAGCTTCTTATAACAAGATGACTGTACTGTTATGTAAAGAAAATCTTCATTTGGTTTCCAGTTATCGGATGGAAATAATCAGGATATTCCAATACAGTTCCTCCATCGTAAAATACAAATTCTATAGAATTTTTTTTTCTTTAAGATTGCTGAGCAAACAAGTTTTTGAACCTCGGGATATACATACATACATATAGTNAATCGGAATTTTTCTATAAATGCTCGAATCTAAGTTTCAAACTGGGTTTAGATTTTTGGTTTTTTATTGTCCTCAGACAAACTTAAGTCCATTAACGTCCAGTGTTACATGATCCCGGACGTAAAACTTGGCGTCAGAAGTGTTGACGCCCGTATGGCGTGATGGATGACGTCACAAAGAAGTGTTTGTTAAGTAGGCTAGTCACCTAGTGTTTACAATCAGCTTGTTATGCGCTTCCCTCCTCATTTAATTAGTGCATTGAAGGAAATTGTTTATAGTGGATGCTGCTGCTGTTGAAAGCTTTTTATTTTTATTTTTAAAAATCTTGAGTAGAATTAAGAGTAGAAGAGTAAAGCGAGACATAACGTGACGTTCATCTGTAGAGAAAACGGCTTTAAACTATATTTATATTCATATCATGATCGTGTTTTACATGTAAGGTATTTGCGATTCTCGGAATATTCTTTAATAAATCAAGAGAATTTTTTATCTACTAATCAATATTTTAGCATTTATTTTTAAAATATTAACCTCCCTTTTTTTAAAAAAAAAAGTTTTCGCGTTAGAGTGTACACAAAGATTGTTAACATAAAAGAAAATAGAAATGATAATCCGCTCCTATGTAAGTCTAATTCAGTTT